TTTGCTGTACAGAATCTCTTTAACTTGATGTAGTCCCATCTATTTATCTTTGCCTTCACTATTGTGGCGTTGGGTGCTCAACAGCAAGACTTTTAAGGTTCTTCCTTTGTCTCTCCTATTAATGAGCAATGGGCCTCTGTCTCTCTTTCAAATTCCAAAGTTCTGGAAACAGAACATCATTATCCTATGTGTGGCTTGGAAGGTGGGGTCAGTGACTTTCTTACAGAGGTATAATTTTTCAGAAATAAGGTAGACAGCTAGAAAAGGTGATTACTGCAAACATATGTATGTGTACATATGTATATATGTAGATACACACACACACACAATTTCCATAGATTTTTCCCTCCGCTGAAAAGTAGTCTTTCTGAATTTTTTTAAATGGGAAGAATTTTAAATACTATACCAATAAATTCTCTAGTGAATAAATTTTTTTAATACTCCTGTTTGGAAATGTAGATTTGATTATTCAGGTTTGGTGAGGCCAACGGATAAGGAGATGATTGCCATTTGAAGGCTGTATTTTACAGTTCCCAAGAGAAGGAGCATGCCATGCAGGGGACCAGAGTGGATGCTGTGTTTTTCTCATAGACTCATTGCTGTGAAGTAGTCTAACTCCTAAGCTTAAAACCCTAGTTTGAGCAAAACTCTACATGTCATTATCCCTTTTTTTCATCAGATATTTTTGAATAGCTAGTAGGATCCATTCCAGTGCTAGGGTACAGCAGAGAACAGGAAGACACGTCTTTCATGTCTGGAAACTCTGTTCTACTAGGAAGCAGACCATAAACAAGTAGGTGGAGAAGTTCAGGTGGTGGTAAAGCCATTTCAGACTTTCCAGTTGCCAGAGAATGTGGGTCCTTGAGCCCAGAGGATGACAAGGGGGACATGGTGTGCATTACTGAGACCTTCTTTCCAGGGGGCGGGGCTGCGCCATCAGCTACATTCTTTATGTTCATTCTTTGCAGGCCCCAGCAAGGCTTGGATGTAAGAATTGATGTTTGAGATTGCTTCGAATTCCCTTTCCTCTCTCTAACTTTATACGGATTTAAGTGCTGAGTTTGGAAAGGTGGTCTCCAGGGGCCTGGAGACAAAACACCACAGCACTGGAGCCAAATTTGTGTATGTGTATTAATGACCCTGTTAATAACTTTACTTCTTGGTTTATTTAAGAAACAATGCCAGTTAGGAAAATGGAAATGAGTAACAACTACCACTGCAGTGATTGAACACCTGCTGTGTGTTCTTTCATTCAAGTCCCACAACTAGTTTGTGTGCACTGTCCTTATCCCATCTGACTTTAGAGAAACCATTGGCCAAAGAAATACAATGCCTTGTGTTGGAGGATCTGGGATTTGAACCCTGGCAGCTTCTCAGACATTTTTAATCCAGTCTCTAAAGCTGATAATTTGTCAAAATGCTTTTTTTCTCTCTTCCAGGTTTTGCTGATCTTTGCAAAGGAAGATAATCAGAGCGATGGATTCTGGTGGGCCTGTGACAGAGCCGGTTATAGATGCAATATTGCACGGACTCCAGAGTCAGCCCTTGAATGCTTTCTAGATAAACATCATGAAATTATTGTAATTGATCACAGACAGACTCGAAACTTTGATGCAGAAGCAGTGTGCAGGTACCTTAATTTAGTACACTTAGTAAATGTCCACTTAACAGCTTCAAATATGCTTCCATGATAGATGACTTTAATTCTGTCCCATATACTTCTACAATATGCATTGATGTTCTGAGCAGTTTATACATATTCTGTGATGAAAGCTTCTCCTATGGATTTATCCTGCCTTTTCTATTTTTTCATATTTGAATTCAGCTGAATTTAGAGGTGTGAGCTGGGCTCCACTGAAAACTTCAGGGTATTTTCCCCTTCTGCGTATTACACACACACACACACACTCTCTCTCACACACTCACACACACACACACACACCCCACATTGAAATTCAGAGCTCTTATGACACAGATACGGTTTGGATTTAAGTCAGGTATCTTACTCTTAATTATTCTGTCCTAACGTGAACATCAAGAATGTGTGAAATACGAAGTCTTCCCTGCCTGACACAGATGGGTGGCTCCTGCAGCAATCCTGTGGCAAAGGGGCCACTTTACAGCAGCAGAAATGCTTCCAAAGCCCCCAAGGGCCCCTGCTTGTGTACAGAAATACTTGCACTCTGGGAAGGAAGCCTATGCCTACTCAAAAATAAAGGCAGCCGTAAGACTTAGCTCAGGATGAACCGATCCATTTAGCACAAGTAGAATGCTTTAGAGCTAGGTGGAAAAAGGTCTAATTAAATGCAAGAGCAGGATAGACGCCAATTACATAGGGAGCTGGAATTTTCTTTAATATTAGTGATATGACTTCTTAGAATCTTTGGTACCTAGATAAATTAGTGAATTAAGAGGAGTTTCTCTTTATAAGCATTGGCTTGCTAATCTTTGATTTTGTTTCCTAAAAAGATTTTCATAAGGAACCTATTTTAAAATGCCTTGCTGGTTTCATCTTATCTTTCTGCATAGATATTCATATCCATATAGTGTATCATAAATATTTGGATGAATTTTTAGCATTAAGAAATGATTCTTAAAAGGCTGTTCAGATTAGTGTTTTCTTTATAACTAAGTAGGTTACTTGGTCTTTATTCACCTTTCTTACATGATTTTATAGTAGAAATATTACTATATCCTTTCAGCACCATAGAATGATTTAAGACAGGCTTCAGGTATTAAACAAAAATTAACAGGAAAAATTCTCTAATTCAGGAAAAGAACCACTTTAGCAAAGAAACTTTTTAATATTCCTCCAGTTTACAACAGTAAACTGTTGTATGTTTCTTAGTAAACATATTTCTATCTTAGTCTCACAGAAAACTTTGTCATGGGAGTGGTGGTCTGCTGTGCAATTCAGAAGCCAGGTGACCTACCTGGTGTGCTCACCAGGTGTTCACCAGCTGTCCTTGGTCACACCTGACTGCCAGCACATGGGCTCTGCGATGGAGTGGTGGGGGTAGAGGGACATTCTTTATGTCATCTTAGACCCAATTCCTGGCTTTTGAGCGCCTCTGGATCTTAGCATGGTATGCTTCTTGGGTCCTACCCTTAGTCCTCCTTGGTCCTCTCCACCTGGAGGAGGTCCTGGACCTCCACTTACCAAAAGAAGGCAAGTGAGGATGTGCCTCGACCCTATTAAGCTCACTCCCTGTTTGAGTCTTTTGCCTAATGAACCCCACATGGCAGTGTACCCAGGATCCCTTATTGGGTTGAAGAGGCAGAAGGACTTAGAAACTAGAGCAGGCCTCTAATACTTTTCATTAGCTATTTCTGCTAAGATTCATAGGTTCCTGAGTAGATTCTAAGTATAGCTTTACCTTTCCAGGACTTGTTCTGGGGGAGCCTGAGTGGGAGGTAATCTGTGTTAGCATCGGACAGGTGTTGGCTTACTCCCCCTTCCCCCCCCCCAGTGAGTTAAGGCCTTCTCTTCAAAGGAGCTTGTTCAAATACCGTTTATCCACAAGGGGAAGCCTCTCTTACCAGGGAGTCAGCCACTGGTCATTTTCTGGAGCATTCCATGCAGACAGAGTGAGTTCTCTAAGAATAGGAAACCAGAAGGTATATTTTGGAGTTGAAGAGGATGAAACAATAAAAGCTATCAGGCTCTAGGGAAGCAAGTTGTGCAAACATTTTAAAATGAAGAGGAGCAGAAATAAGATAGCTAGGAAGAACAAATACATTTTTTATCACAAACTATTCAGGAGCAGCCTTGAGCCTTCTGTTCTCAGAGATGGTTCCCTTCTGAGGGATCTCAAAATAAGCAGAGGCCAGACCGAGGAGATAGGTCAAAACATGCATGCTTATTTGTACTAAAACACAAGTATGTGGCCTTTTATTAAAAAAGTTCATCCAATTGATGACCCCTGACCAGAATAATTCAGGATGTGAGTGGCAGCCTAGCACATTTTCAAAGATGGACAAACCTCAGAATTTTACACTGTTATTTATTTTAAATCTTGTTAACGCCTAAATTCCTAGGAAATTAGCTACATATAAGGTCCGAGTACAACAAATAACATTACAGTGGTAATCACTATATTGCAACACTTCATAGCCCTGGGTGATGACCCAGTGGTTTAAACTATTTGACAGCAAACAGTATAGCTGAAAGATCCAGGCAGCCCCTGGTACCACCTTTAATTAGGCCCGTATCCAGCTTCCAGCGAGTGCTGCGAAGTTCAGTTCAACTTTCTTGAGCTTTTTTTTTTTTTTTAAGAAAAAAATGACCCAACCCAATTAGCTCGCTAAGTACAAACTGATAACTGGACAATTGTAGGTCTGCCAATTTTTTTTTTCCAGACTAGAATTTCAATCAGAAAATGTGGTATTTGCCAGTTTTTGAAATGGAAAATTGGCAGGTCTAACCTGTTGGATAATTGCCTAGGAGCTAAAAAAAAATTTTTTTTAAATAACACAAAATTGTTCCAACAAGGGCAACTTTCTTTGTTGTCATCTATGTACTTTTTCTTTAGAGGAAGATTTGATTCTGAATGTGATGAAATTCTACACTTGTTTAATGTTGCAGAGCCCAGATCACCTGGTTTGACTGGCAGGTTTCTCATTGCAGGTCTATCCGGGCCACAAACCCCTCCGAGCACACGGTGATCCTTGCGGTCGTCTCACAAGTGTAAGCATCTACTTTCCCAGCTTCGGTAGTACCATTCACTCTGGAACCTCTGTCTGATAAATCCAGCCTGTGAGCTAGGGAAGCAGCCAGCATGTCTCTGGTCTTAAAACACCAACCCTAATCTTGCTTTGGGGATTTTCTTTGTTTCTCAAGTTTCTGGAAATATTTAGTCTCCTTTCTCTAGCCTATCTAGTTGCTGTGAGCACGTACTCATCTACTTCAGAAAAATTAGTCATTATATGCTAGGAAAGAATAGACAATCTGGGGAGAAGGAGGTCTAGAGAGAATACTGTTTTGGGTTTGTTTTTTTTTTTTTTGTCTTTGAAGAGGAGGGAATGCTTGTTTTCTGTTTGAAAGAAACAAATTGAAGCATGAGAACAAAGAGGTGTTAATCCACTGTGAAAAAATATGCAGTTTATATTGGGGCTGTGTGGTTAGAATTTATGTAAATGTTGAAAAGCAAAAAAAAAAAAGAGAAGAGAGATGGATTGAGTTGTTGAGTTGTAGGTACAAAACTGTGGAATGAAAAACTGCTTCCTGGGTTTGTTGTCTGAAATGACCAGACTTAAAAGGAAAGATCTAGAAGAAAAGAGTCATTGTACAAGCTACCATGGTTGGTATCTTTCCAAGGATCAAAATGTGTTGGAGTTATTTAATGGCTGTCATTAGCTTCAGAAAATAAGGCCTTAATTAGGGTCTAGTACCTACTGGACTTGACCCCATTAAGGCAAATGACAGTGATTCTTCTATAAAAGAGTCTATAGGCCAGGAACCTATCAGCTCAGACAGGAACACTGAGGTCTACTCTAGGCAGGCTGCACTTGGAAGAGTGGAACTTATGGCTTCAGAGTCTTCAAAGATTCCTGCTTAACTGCTGCTCCTTGAGTTTCCTGTTAGGAACTATGGATCTTCACTTTGATACCTACCGGGGGTTATGGACCAAGGAAAGTGATGAAGTTGACCAGTTGGTTTCCTATTACCTTCCCCTCCCGGTGGGATCTCAGGAGTGAGTGGAGGAGAACAATTTGTGAAATCAGCTGCCTTCATCCCTCTTGCTGATATTTTATATTCTGGAGACGCTGAGGTCTTGAAAGTGTCTTAAGAGTCCCGGATGCCAGAATTCAGCAGGCTACACAGCACCTTCCCCAAGCCTGGCTTATCTCAATGATCCCAAAATGAAACACTGGTTTTCTGCCTGCTCATGTAGCAGAAACATTCTTGATAAAGAATAGTTTGGTATGGTTTGCTATTTTCACTTTTTAATTTTTTGAATCAAGCTTTCAATGTAAAGTAAGAAAAAGTGAATGCTGTTTTTGCCCCCCTGCTTGTGAAAGACAACATTTTTAATGCCTTTGGAACCTTTTTCTGCCCCTTCTGAATATCATACAAAGAACATACAACCTTGAATTCCTGGGCAGAAAGGAAGCAGGAAGGACAGCTCTTCCCTGGAAGTAGGAATCAGAGACTGGGTATGCTGCAAATAAGCACTGTGATTTCTTTCCATTTTCTATCTGATGCTCACCTAAACCCTTTATTTCATTTTCTTAACCATTTTTTGAAATTATGTACCCATATTACTTGCTGGCTGGCTGGGGTGCACCATTTCTTCAGTGGTGCTGGCACAGCTCTGGCTTGTCTTCATGATTAATAAGCCGTCCTTGTACTCCAGCAGAAGTTCGGAGATCCAAGTGAAGACTCAGTATAGGAAACCTTGGTCACCCTTTTATGGGCCCAGCATGCTTCCGCTGATGACATTCTTTCCCCTTTGGCATTGGGGTTCTGTGAACCAGTAATGCAAGTAGTAGTCTTCCTCACCCTGAGAGCTGGGTGTAGGAGTCATGCTTTCAGACGGTGCAGGGATAGCTAAGAAGACCGTGGTCTCTGGGATGAGCCTTGCACCTCCCTGCATTTGCTTCAACTCCCAAGGGCAGCTCAGAGCCGAAGCAGCTACTCTCAGTGCCTGAGGTGATAACTTTCAGGCTCACAGCCAGAGATGTTCTTTTGCCTTTGTCCTTTCTACCTTTGGAAGGTGAATATGGGAGTCTGGGCCCTCTGTGGCCAGGGGCCGGTCAGGAAGTCACTGTTAGAGCCAAAGCCATGCTTGCCTCATGGCTCGCTCTCCATATTTCAGTGGAGGAATCCTGGTTGGTATCTGCTGAGTGACCACATTTTCTGCTTTGCTGCAGATTGGGCGACCATGAAGAGGCCTCAGTCCTCCCTCTTCTGAATGCAGGCTTCAACAGGGTATGTAGAAGATGAACCAGCCCCTCTCAGGTGCAGGCACCTAACCCTTGAATTAAGCCCCAGGATCATGAGGGGGGAACTGTTTAATGCACAGTAACTGACAACTGCTAGTTCAGGGTGCTTTGTTCCTCTCCTAACTTCATTATCTCAGCTACAAATACAGAATGACCTAAGAAACACCTGATCATACCAAGTCATGTGTTTCCCAGGTAACCTCACTTGAGACAATCCAGTCAATTGGATTCAGTGAGAGCATGGACAGTGCTTCTGAGTTTTGGAATTGAGAGTTGCAAAAGGAAATTGACAAAGAAGCCATGTGGCTGAGACTTTTCCTACTCATTTTCTGAGAGAGAACTTCAAGTAATTCATAGATTTCAGAGATGTTCTGTTTAATGTTGACCACCTCATGGCACCCTAGCTCAGTGCCCAGTACTGCCCCTCATCTCTGAGAGAAGACTCTGGAGCATGAGGCTGTGTGTTCTCCTCACGGCCTGGGACAGATGGCAGGAGGGCGTGTTGCACGAGGTCACCTTAAAGGGACCCAGGTAGGAGCTGCAGAGGGCCCTTTGGAATTCAGCTGCTAGTTTGGTGATCTCACCACCCACTGGCACAGAACTTGGTGTCTTGTTGGGACGGCTGAGATTGCACCTCTACTTCCAGAAAATACTTATGGGAAATAGTTAACCTTCTTAGGGTGCAAATGCTATTCAGTAAAATCTAAGATAAAAGTTCATTGCTCTAGTTTTTGTAACCTGTCCGTGCTGCTCTGGAGGATTGCATTTCCCTCTCTGCACATGGTGCTGCTTTCTGCAATCAGTCACAGTAAGTAAAGCCCTTGGTGTGGGAAGATGAAAAGCAGCACCTGTCAAGGTCCACCTGATGTTCTTGAGTGCCTGGTCTCATCAGCACCTTCTGCTAGCTAGGTCAGGGTGCCCCTAAATAGTTTGGGTTCTTTTCAAGTGAAGCACACTGTACCTACAAAGGTTTTTCTTTCTGAGTTACTGTGGCACAAGATCAGCTGAGGATGTTTACCAGGTGACTGGTCTCCTTTTTTGGACAAAATCTTGTGTTTGGCAACTCTCTACCCAAGTACCCTTCCAAATATGCCAACTATTCTTGCTTCCATGAGGTTGTTTCCTTTCTCTGATATGTTTTGATTATATTAAATCATCTGCTGAAACTCAGTCTATGGGTACCTGAGTGGGGCTTCAGGAACACATTGTGCCACAGGATATGCCACAGCAACTCCCCTTAGAGCTTTTGCAGCTATCATAAGTGGCTGACTGTAGGATGCTTGGTCCACTTCGAACTTTTTAGAAACCAGCATTTTAGTAAAGAGTGATTACAGCTCTTTGTATATCAGTCTGTGTGCCTTTTTTTCTATCTGAAGTGATGCTTACTCAAGTGCTCATGGTGCACTTACTATGTGCGGTGCAATGTGTGAGGCATGCCTGTGACTTCTCTTCCCAGAGAAGCTTCTTGTAGGAGTAGGAAGTGGTTTGTCAGGCTCCAACCTAGGTGATATACTTAATGAGGGATGCCTATCTTTTCTGTCTTTGCAGAGGAGAAAGCACATTCCAAATGACAAGATAGGTTGTCTAAGCTCATACTCATAACAAAGTGAAGATACAAATATATGCTAGTTAATTTCAAACTGCACATTGGATCCATCAGTGTTACTTTCCAAGCTGTCCCATGAACACTAGTGTTCCAAAAACTTTAACAGTGTTCTGTGAAAAGAGGCTTCTGTGGTCCAGAAAGTTTAGAAACAGTAAAGACTGTTCTTCCTCCTTTCTTCCTGGAAATCCACATTAACAGCAGTGGCACATGAGCACACTCAGTGCTCTGAGAAATCTGCAGTAAAGAAGCCTGCCTCAATTTCTAGCAATAGGGCCAGGAATATGCATTAAAAAAAAAAAAGAAGACTCAGGTGACTCTTAAATTTTTTAAACTTTGACGCTCATTGCTTTTGATTAACTCAAATTATTTCAGGTATATGGATTAATGACAGTCTTTGATTAACTCAAATTATTTCAGATATATGGATTAACGACAATCTGGAAAACCCCTCAAAAAGAAGGCAGTGGAATCTCCCATTACTTTTCAAAACACTCATTAATGCCAACTATGTGCAAATAGAGTACTCCAGCAATTAGAAACCATCACTTGCAGAAAGTTGTTCTGTTCTGCAATGGATGTTCTTGGGAGAGCTGAAGAAAAACTCATTAACAGTTGTTGCTTAGCTATGAAAGCAAAAATATAGTATGACCATATATATTCATATATTTAGATGAAATACACAGACACATAATAAAAACCTAAGGGAAATTAACCAAAATGCAATGCTATCTGTACCTTATGACATTATCAGTGATTGGGTTTTTTTTCCCCTTATAGCTTCTCTGCTTTATATACTTTTAAATTAGTGTGCATTACTTTTTAGACATATGTAACAAATGTTTCCTTTTACATTTTCTGTCCTAAAAAGAAAAAAAAAATTGCCTAGTAGTATTTACCCCAACATTTTTTAAAAGATTTATTTATTTATGTATACAGAACTTGGGCTACAGAGCAGAGGTGCAGGGGTGCTGAGAGGATTCACCAGAGGCAGAGTGGGGAGCAGGACAGGCCAACTGACCCTGCTGAGGGGAGCAGCAGGCGGGTCAGGAGAAGTCTTCTGAGCCATGTGGGTCACCTTCGGGGCAGGTGGGGATCGAACTCGTGCTGAAATGGCTTTAGCTTCTTAGTGCTGTGCTTTAACCCGCTGCGCCACCAACATTTTTAAAAGTTACTTTATGCAGCCAACAACATTCAGAGATCTGTGCAGTCTGATAATCTTCAACTGTCCGAAACTGAACCCAACCATGTGTAACTTTGCTTTGTAAATAGAAAGTATTTCCACCTCTGTATATGTTCACGTTCCCTCTTTCCTTATTCCTTCACAACTCCTGCCTGGAATAGTGGGAGGACTTGAGGCATAGGGCAAGTTGGAGGACTGCAAGGAGTTCTCTAGGAAGACACCATCCACGCTAGCATGTGTGTGTGGGAGCGTGGGAGGGAGAAAAACACAGGAGCAAGGAGAATGTGTTAGGTTCTTGGAATATTAAGCAGGAAGCGAACAGGCTTGTTCCCTTGAAAGAGTTCACAGGTGCACTAAGCATGTCCAGTGTCTGGACGGTAGTGCCACATAAAGCAAAGCAAAGCAAAGGTGTTCCGTCTTCTGTGCCCTTTCCTGTTTATTCCCGTGAGTACGCGTAATGAAGTTTTCCACGCCTTTGTTATCAAGGAAGTTAAGTGTATTACCTGCTCTCTGCTGTTTCTGATACATTTAACAAGCATTTCAAATACCTTGACAACGGTTTTATTTCATCTCATCTTCCCCTCTTAAGAATGTCTTATGTAACAGTTGCCTGGGGTGGGAAAAACTGTTAAGTTTCTTTGTTTGACTCTTTAAGAGGTAATTGTATGTCTTATGTATTATCTTTGCTTTCTTTTCAGAGATTTATGGAGAATAGCAGCATAATTGCTTGCTATAATGAATTGATTCAAATAGAACATGGGGAAGTTCGCTCACAGTTCAAATTACGGTATGTAGCAAAATAAGATGGAAAATGAAGTTAGCAATTCAGTAGAAAAGCCTGGCTGTCATCAGGTTGATGTTCACAGGTTTTAACTAAATCCCAATGATTTTTTTAAGCCATTCAACAGGTAATGGTAAACACAAAATTTCAACCTGGAGTGTGTTGATATAATGAAATAAATTGGAAGCATTTCTCCTCTTGCAATATTTTCCACTATTTGCAGTAGTTTTAAATTACACCCTAGGAAAAAGTACTGTGGAATTTTTGTGCAATTAGATCAAGATTAAGAATAGCCTTGCAAGATTACTTTTTAGTTACTGCTTTCCACATTTATAAATTCCTACTTGCATTGTTACAGACAGGGGCAAACCAGTGGTTATATTTATTATGCTAACCTTAGTAACCATGATAGTAATTCCATGAAGCCGTCTGCAGCATTGTTGTGTGTGAAGAAGAAACTGACTTTAGACAGGTACATAGTGCTTTAGGAGCAGGCTTCTCTGGTACTCACTTCTGGGTTGGAGTCCTCTGAGTGGTACTTTGGGCTGCCTTGAGATATTGGGGGCTTTGTTCATTCCTAATTTTGCTCAGACCCCATTCTGTGTGCTCTCTGGACACTGATGTCCAAAATCTACCATCCCCACCCCAGCAGAGGGAGAGCAGAGGTGTGTATGTGGTGGTGGGGGGAGGACTCTTGGCAAACTAGAGTCCCCAGGGGACCAGTTCCAAGTGACTTCAGGCAGTGGGATGTCTGGAAGGAAGGTTCCTGGCATGGCTTCTCTTTAGCCAACTGAGAGGTTATGACTGTTTCAGACTTGATGCAAAATAAATAAGATACCATCTCTTTGTAATAATACACTTTCTGGTTACTTATTTTGCATTCAGAGGGGGAAAACTCTTCCTTAAATGTAATTGTTCTCTACCATTCTTTCTCCCCTGGATTGACATAAACCTACAGAAGCGGTTCTTCTGGGATCCACCATGGTCAGGGAAGTCACTTTTTGGTGGAGAGAGAGCTTCAAGAAATTGAGTATGGAATAAATAGTCACTTTCATAGGTGGAAAGATATTTTAAAAGAATTTCAACCTAGTGGAGGTTTCAGGTGTTTTTACACTGGCAGTGAGGAATACGGCCAAAGAATTTTTGAAAGATAAGTCAGATCCCTTGATTGCTGTTTCTCTGTATGTTTGTCATCTTTTAAAAACTTCATAGAATTTGTCCAGAAAACCATACTGACTTTACTTTAGCAATCTGTGATTTTAAATAAGGTACTGTAGTTTTTATTTTATTCCTGGGTGTGTCTGCTGTTCATATTTGAGGATTAAGAGGCTTCCTCCTTTATTTTAGATGTTTCATTCCTTAACTGTGTATTGTTTATAATGAAAATTAGCATCATAACATTGCTTTGCTAGACACTTCTCCCATTTAAATGGCACTTTCAAGGTGCCAGGAGTGCCGTAGCAAGTGGGGAGAGGCAAGTCTGTTCGATTTGAAGTCAACGTGTGCAGCCCGCCAGCACAGGGGCTCAAGGAAAGGGTTCCAGGTTATTGTACTGATGAAATCTGCTGAAAAGTCAGGCACTTAACACTTTCAAGGTATCATTAGATTCAGAATTGTGCCAGTTTTTAAGTTCCTCATACTATGAGTACTGTAATTCCTCATTGGAGCTGGTCAGGGGAGTTAGGTCCATGGTAGACATAATGCTAAGTGAAGTTTTCAGTAAAACCAGTGTGAAGATGATGAATGGACTTGAACCATCAAACATCCACCCCAGAGGGTGGGTTTGCCCATCATCCTGCTCCCCTTGTCATCCACACTAGCTTAGCTTGGCTGCTAAAGACCTTTTCTTCCTAGTCCAGAGCAGCCCTGTGGCAGAGGAAGAGTCAAGAGTCCTCCTCACTAGCAGAGGAGACTGAAGGGTTGGTCTCTTCAGCTGCTTTTTGCCTGAATCTGCCTTAGCTGTTCCCAAGTTCTCTCCCTTCTTTTGGAAGTTTGTGTGCATGGTGTCTACTACATCTGGCCCCAAAAGATGGGAGGACAGTGACCCACACCATGACCAGTGCCCTTGAGGGCACTCCAGGGCATGGGGCACCTTTCTGCTTCCTGGAGGCAGGTGGGCAGTTCCTGCTTGCCACAGACTGGAAAATGAGATTCTTTATTATACAGTGCCAGAATAATTAGTCTAATTATATAATACTTTCCCCTGCAATTCCACCCCCAGCTTCAGCTAAATATGTGACATTACAAGCATTCTGCAAGGACAGTCTGTACTGCAAGGACGATGTTCAGTGTTGAAGGTAGACTCTTTCCCCCCAGCCTTTATATATGGCGACCATATTTACTTAATCAAGAAAAAATAATCATGTGATCCAATAAAATGTATTACCTAATTTGAAAATTGGATAATGTAGCCTGTCTTAAAGATAGAAAAACAATCACACTCTGTGTACATACTGATGACTTGCTTTATTGAACAGAAGAATCTTTGAACTAGCAGTGTCTGGTGAAGTATAAGCTAAATGATGACCATCCTTATAATGTTCTTATGCCTCTTTAGCATGAGAAGAATCATTTTGTCCAAAATGTGGATAGAATTTAGCTACTTATGGGGAGTTTGTACAAATACAGTGGCAGTTTTTGTCCTCAGAAATTCTGATGGGCAGAATTCTGTATCCCATGACACACACGTGTCTGTGTTAACAGACACGTGCATGTGGGTTGTGCATGACAGCATTTGTACTGTTAGAGTCGTTGCCAAGTTGTAAAGGCTTAAACTGAGTGACTCCTACTACTTTGCTTCCCATGAGTAACAAGACCATTTCCCCCGTGGCTTCTCTGCTGCTCCCAGACTCCTGCTGGGAAGTAGGATGGGAAGTAGAATGGAAATCTTCTCCCTCAAAGCCATGACCTTGCCCAGTCCTAACTTTGTTTCAAATAGTGTGAGCGTGCACCTGGGTGTATGTGTATTTTGGAGGGATATAGGGACATAGGTGATCATGTAACTCCACCAGTCCGGGGGCAGTTGACAGAAGAAACAGAAACTGCCGGAGACGCTCTTGACATCATCACAGCCACCCAAAAAATGTTCATGGCAGCAGTGCAGTAGAACGGGGCTTCCTGCTTTCCCCACTCTACACCTGTGTTCTGTGTATAATGGGTCCTTGGGTTCCTGTGATAGTTCATTTCCTTTTTGGGATCGTCAAGGGCCCTATGTGGGAAATGGTGACATGCCCACAACTTTGGGGGGGTTCACTGAGCTTAGTTAGCTTCCTTGGTGCTGCTCTTTCCCATTTCTGGGGTCCTCAGACTGAAAAATACACAAGTAAAGACCTTTCAAGCACAGAGTTATGTCGTTCCCAGGAATAGATGATTGATAAAATCTAGGGTTCTCTTGCATAAAGAATATGAATAATTAATATCAGCAATTATGTCCCAAACCCTAGAAATGTGATTTAAATTGATTACCTCACTTTACTGCAGGTTCATTTAAATACAGCCATCAGCCAGAAGAGATTTAAGCTCAACTAGAAGCCTGGTGGTCTGGGCACATTAGTCATGGGGTTAAAGAATCTGCCCCTGCCAGTATCCCTTTGCCTCAACTGTGGATGAGAATTTGCTTTTGTTTGCTGATTATTTTATGCTTTGGTAATAAGGTAAATGTTTTAATAGGTCAGCTTTGGAGGCTGGAGCTAAGATCTGGCATAAAGGCAGCCTGGAGCTGATGCAAGCCATACTATTTTGAAGGACCTGTTTACATATCTGGTTACCTGGGGACACACAGTTCTTTGAGAAAGTACCAAGTGTTGCGTTGGCAACACCACACTGATAAACAGGAGTCACAGAGCAGACTGCACGAGGCAGGATGCTGCTCCATGGCTCCCCTTTATCAGAGTGGTGTTGCCGACGCAACAACCGAGTACCTCTGTAGAGCAGGAAAGGAGTTCATTTGATAAAAGGTGTTAGTTGAAGCTGGACTGTCCATCCAGCTCTCACAGGAAGCAATTAGCCTGCACAGGGGACTCCTCTCCCCTCTAACTTCTGGAGAACAAGGAACACTTTCCTGAGGCCCCAAGTCAGCTGCTGGGCTCTGGTGCCTGGGAAATACTTCCTCTCGCCCTTTCATAAGAGGCAGCACAGTAAAGACTGGGGTAATCATTCCCCAGTCCTCTTTTAGTCTTTTTTTTTTCCTCTTCAAGTGATTGTGTGCATAAATGCAGCAATGCCAATAGAACAGTTATACGATTCAAATTTGGTTGTATGGTGCAATTTAAGAAAATATGCTATACCCATCAGAAATCTCAGCTGAGTTAGGTCTATGTTCTCCTGTGCCCACCTGTGTCATGAATTCTTGCTTTTCTCATCCGCCCACACTGGAACCATCACCTGTAGCTATAGGAACACTGTCCTTCAGTGGGGCGGAAATCCTTCCTCACTCCCCATGCAGGTTACCTTGCCATTACCAAATACAGTAATTGGCTTGACATTTTCGACATCCTCATGAGAAAAGATGAGGTTATGATTCACTTTGCTTTTGCTAACTGCCTTTGAAAGCCTCAAAGAACAAAGAAATACTATCTTATAAAACAAAGGTACCGTGCGTTGAATTCTTAAATTGTTGCAAGCACTTTGAGAAATGTCTCCCATAAACTCTATTTTGATTCTTACAATAATCTGTAGAATGTGTCATCCTCCTCTTGTAGATGAGGAAACCAAGAACCAGAGAAGATAAAAAGTTGGCTAAGGCCCCATAACTTGGCAAGTACAGAGCCAGGTTTCTCCTAGTTCTTTTTGCCCTCTCCCTCATGAGCATTTCAGACAAGATTGCAAAGTCAGATGTCTTTATGAATGCAAAGAATGAATAACATTTTCAGACTTTGTTTTATAAGGAGAAACATCAATCCAATATGTCAACATTTTTTTCTGGTAATAAATAAGAAAGCCTTCACTAAACTCTTTAAATAGCTAGTACAAATAGCCAAGCTCTAGTAGCAGGCTACATGTTTGCTCTGTTGCATAGTAAATAATGTATTTGGAGTCTCTCTCAATTTGGAAGGTAGTTAAAATCCTGAGAAATTGAAAGGATCTCACATATTCCAGATTTACAAGGAGAAGCACACACCTGAAGAGGTGCATGCCTATTAGTAAGTTGGCAAGAGGTTCTGCCAGTATTATAAGAAGTTGTTTATCTGAGATCAAGAAAGTGAGAAAGGCCAGAATACCTCTGCTCCAATTTTGGCCTAATTAGGTTCTCCTAATTGACAGGGACTTCTCCATGGCCACACTATGAATTGAAATAAGAATGTCACTGACCTAGAACAAGATAGACTCCTCAGCATCTTCATTTTCATGTGTTGGTGATAAAGTCTCATTCAGCACATGTGTAGTTCACCCATGATCTGGTGATTGTGCTGAACAATAAGTCTTTGTGCACTTACACACAGACATACAGGCTGTTGGCTTTGTTCATTTAATTTGAAAGGAAAGGTTTTTTCAGTATGTATCAAAAGATACAATTGTAATGAATCTAAGAGACTGATGAATTAACGGATGAAAGACAGTTTTATGGCAAAACTAACGTCAGTCTTTTGCAACTTTTTCAGGGCCTGTAATTCCGTGTTTACTGCATTAGACCATTGTCACGAAGCCATAGAGATAACGAGCGATGACCATGTGATTCAGGTATGAGGTCACTGTATACCTTTAGATATCAAAATAGAATCTCATATTTGAGCCACCCTTTTCTCATGACTCTCACATTTTAGCATGTTTTCTTAGGAGAAAGGAATATCAATGCATGCAAAGAAAACTAATAAACTCAAGAGGTAGATATCAATAAGAATAAAAAAAATTCAGAAAAGAACTTGTGATTTCCTGGGCAGAGCTGGGGTATATTCTTTGTACCTTCTGTGAAGACAGCATTCCTACAGCAGTGTATCAGAACAGTAGAGTAAATGTGTATAAATGCTTATGGCAACAGAGTATTTTCTAAAGTACTCATTTCTTTGCCTGCAGTTGGTATTCTAATTATAAAGCATGCTTACATACCAAAGTCAGCTTAAGAAAGGTAGATAATAGGCAAAAATTTGTTGAAATCAAGACGTCTTATTATTTGTTGGGAAGTAAAATATTTATACCTAAGAAATATGCTGAAATGTAGGCATTCTGCTGATAAGGACAGCCTGCCTGCAAGTTAGTTTGCACAGAGACAGAACGCAGAGGAGCACCTGCTGTCGTCCGTAGAGCCCAGGACAGTGCTCCACCCTCAGCGGCCCCACACAGCCTCACACTGCCCTCCCGGGAAACCACCGGCCACTCGTGTGCACACACGTGCCCTGTTCCTGTTCGGGAGTAGCAGTACCTGCGACCCATGAGGCCTCGGCCCCGGCCTCAACGCAGTCGTAAGATTCTCACTGCTGATTAGTCACCCTATGAAACAGACTTAAGTGCCCCATAATTCAGATGGGAAAGTTGAGGCCCAGCAAGGTCAAGGGACGTGCCTGAAGCAGACTTCTTGGGGTGACAAGGGTTGAAGCCAAATTATGTGTCTTACTGACTTCACAGTTTGACTCTAACTTCTCAGTGGCCAGTGGCAATGCTCTCAGAAGGACCCTGGATAGAGTAAGAACATGACTCTTCTACCCATCATGACTGCTCGCAAAATCTAGAGTACAAGGTTATTCTCATTTCCACCTTACATATAACACCTACCATTCAGCTTACTTCTTATTTGGGCATCTTGTTTTAGGTTCAGGTTATTGGTGAGTTTTTAAAGTTAGCCTAAAAAGACTCCCTGAGAAAAATTGCAGTCAGTATACTTTGCTTTGAATGCAGGGACTCCCCCTCTCTCTTCCAGGGCTATCTTCAGCCCTCGTTTCTCCTAGATCCTGGTGAATAGTATATAAACTGACAACATCACCCTAATACCTCTCCCAGAGATAAGGGTTTTCAAACCACCAGCTGGCAACCGCAGAATGAAGTACTGGATTCCCTGTTACAGGAGTCGTGTATAGAACTACAATGGGGACGGAGCGCAGCTGGCAGGGAGTCTGTGTGGCTGCCTGCTGTAAAAGGTGCAGATGTGTTTCATGGACAGAATTGATGGTCCGGGTCATGTGTGTAAGTAGAAGACATGTAGGATTTGTGCTTGGTGTGCAACAGAAAAGCACCTGACTTCTCTGTAGCCTTGGCTGCAGACCTGTGACACGAAGGACATTAATAAGCAGCAACATTAGGAAGTCTTTAGATCCATTTCAAAGGGCAGCCAGAAACATGAATTCTAAAAACACAGCAAAACTTTGAAATCAGTGGGACCTGGTCTCTATGTATCTATCCAAACTGTTTGCTTTGAAACACTTCTGCTTACCTTTTGCCAGGCATGGTACTAGTGTTTTACACATACTTATTTGTCTCTTAAAACAGCCCCACGAGTTGGCACTACTGCTGCAGTCCTGTTGCAGACGAGGGAACTTAGGACAGACAAGACGAGCCATTGCCCACAGTCAGCAGCTAGTAATTGGCAGAGCCAGGATTTGAACTTGGTCCTTTGGCTCCAAAGCCCATGTCCTGGTGTAACTGCCACATGCTGACATTACAGGAGCCTAGATGAGAGAAAGGCCATGAATTTAACTCATATTTGCAACATAATAGGGTAGGCAAAATAAGCACATATGAAAATGGCTGAGGGAATGCCCAATAATTAAGGAAAATACTGTATCTCGAAGGTTACCCATCCTTTTCAATATTTTCTAAACTGTCCATAGTATCCAACAGTAAATCTCAAGTGCCCTTTGCCCTTGAGGATTTTAGTGTCTGGTGCGAGAGAGAAGAATAAACAAAAATTAGCTTCAGTGAAGTCACTAGACCCTTTCACAGGAAGCCACAGGAGCCAGGCTTAAAGGGCTGCTCCCTCAACGGGGAGAGGATAAGTCATATCGACAAGGCGTTGGGAAGGGCATGGGGAAGGGCATGGGGAAGGGCATGGGGAAGGGCATGGGGAAGGGCATGGGGAAGGGCATTGGGAAGGGCGTTGGGAAGGGCGTTGGGAGCAGAGAAGGCATGTGAGCTGAGGCCCATAGGGGAGGGAGAAGTGCAGGCAGCTCAGCTGCCTGCAGGAGCAGACTGAGCCCGGGGAACTCCTGGCAGGCAGGGGCCAGCCACACAGGCCAGGGAGTAAGTGATGGGAGGCCCGTGGTCCCCACCCCTCCCCTTCAGGCAGCCCCATAAGGACTGGTGCTGAGGAGCCCAGAGCACCTTCTGCATCTCTCCAACTCCTCGGGTTCATTGTCTAAATAAGCAGTGTTCCCAAGGGGATAGCTTCCCCAGTATCACGGCTTCCCCAAGCTCCTTACTGATGTTACCACAACAGAGGGCAAGAGTGATTACAGTTTGTAAGAACATTTCTGAATCAGCAGATGGATGTGAGTTATGCCCAGAGACATCCATGCCCTACATGTGAGTGCTCACATTCCTCCACATTCTCCCTCACTTGTCTCCCTCCACTCAGCTACTCATCCCATGACTATTCTTTGAGAAGAAACTAGAGGGTGGGGACATGCGCTTGGAGTCACACTGTCACACAGCCCTAAACTCCAAGTTCTTGGGCAGAATTTTGGAAAGAAACCACTGAGTCTCTCGCTCCCAGAATGTGCCCAGAGGAGCATCTCTCCACACCTGCCCTGGTCCAGCACTGAAAGGACCGGCTCCTTCCGAAGCCTTTCAACCAAATTTATGATTCAGACAACGCCAGGAGTGGTCCCAAGCCTTGGCATTGGGTGATGGTGGTAATAAGTTTGCCTATGTGAGAGATCAAGTTACTGCCTTGTAAAGATGTGCATCATAGAACCAGCAGAATTGAGCTCTAACAGCTCCTATTTCTATATTTTCCCCCAGTTTTTTCCTTAGCTTATGATGCATAAGGCCACCAAAGGCTGGCCCCACTAGATGATGGCTTCTTGCCCTTTTTCTGTTGAAGAGTTTCTCCAATTTCCTACAGGGAGCCAGGGTTTCAGGGAGAGCAGTAGAATGGATAACTTCAGCTACTGCAGGGGGACACGAGGGTGGGCAGCAGCTCAGCACCTGCACCAGACACTGCTGGCCCTGGTAGCACCTCGCTGGACACCCCAGCACATTTCTTCTGTGCCAGCAAGCCCAGGCATGCCACCTTCCCATGCTGACCCGTATCTGCTTCCCCTCCGCAGTACGTCAACCCGGCCTTCGAGAGGATGATGGGCTACCATAAAGGCGAGCTTCTGGGCAAAGAACTGGCCGAACTGCCCAAGAGTGATAAGAACCGAGCAGACCTCCTGGACACCATCAACACGTGCATCAAGAAGGGCAAGGTGTGTTCAGCCAGCAAAACACAGTCACACATCACTCACCAGTACGGTTGTTTTTATGCAGTCCTCAGGACTGCATTCTTGAATAATGTTATAATGAAGTGGCCGATCCCTTACATTTGTTTGCAAAATAAGTCGCTTTTGGATATCAAGTGAGTCTAGCGCACATCACCCTGATAGGGAATCTAATCATTTTACCTAAAAAAGTTGCATTCCTTGCACGAATATATCCCAGCTGTTGTTGCTGGAGTATCCTTACCTCCTGCCCTTCCTATCCCATAGAGCTGTTGTTTGCTTTTAAATCTGTCTAGTGTTTGGGCCACGGGCCTTTCTTAATGTCCGTATTTGCAGGCAGGCTCAGCTTTGGGTCAGTTTTCCTTTCTCTGTTCTCTTTACTCATCACAGTTCAACAGAAGTGTGTGACTTAGTTCTCTGCCGCACCAACTTGCTCAGTGGCTTCCTCTTCACCGGGGCAGGTGAGGGTGATGGTGTGAGTGCAGCAGGAAGTCCCTGCACACCCCCCACCTCAGGGGTGCTCTGCTTTCATAGCTGGAACCGGCTGTTCATGTTCATTGCAGCCCCAGAACGCTTTCTCATGAATTATTTCATCTTGCTTTCTCTGACTTGTAGTAGTTTGAAAGCATTGTATGCCATTTAATGGGAAAAAGAAATAAAGTACACTTACTAGATAGGATGGCCAAAATTAAAAAAAAAAAAGTAGTAAGACTGTGAAAGGAACTAGGATGTTGTTAAGGGTTCCATGAGATTGCCTAAGAATAGTGCCCCCCATCTGGTGGTCCCCAGATGCTCACCAATCTGCTGACTTAGGGGAGCAAAGGTCAGAAATGACTGCAAAGAATCTCAGAAATAACATGGTTGCCTCAGGTTCCCCTGGGAGGTCACCTAGCTCTTCACCCCAGCCATTTCTCCAAGACCCAGAGATACAGCAGTCTCCAGACTCCCTCTTGCCTCATCCCTGGAATCTGCCACAGGCCAGACTAACCCTAAAGAAGTTGTAGGTGGAGACCCAGAGGATGTCAGCAAATCAGAGGGCTGCAGGGAAAGAGAAGACCTACTAATACATAGTATCCACCTCTTCTTGTGGGTAGATTAGACTCTCTGGGCCTCAGTTTCCCCATCTGTAATTTAAAGGTGGTCATTCTAAGCTTTTAGGTTAGTGTGAAAATTTTGAGAATAGCCCGGGAGGAGTCCCTTGACAGATGCCACTACCCCTTCAGGACTGGGAGAGGACTCCACCTATGGGTCCCGGGGTCCAGGGGGGCCGCCTGGCAGAGGACACTTTGGATTGTGGTCTTTGTGCATCATGACTGTGGGCCTCACCGAGTGAGCCTCCCAGCGGGTGCCGTGATGTGTGGGGGTGCTTTGAGAAATGGACTGAACGCATGGGAGAACTTTACCGCTCAACCTGGTAAGACCTTCTGTAGGGGCAGCTGTAGGCCTCGCGGAAGGATTTTAAGTGCTCTCTTTGTCCATGTATAGGAGTGGCAGGGGGTTTACTATGCCAGACGGAAATCCGGGGACAGCATTCAACAGCACGTGAAGATTACCCCAGTGATTGGCCAAGGAGGGTGAGAGCATACTCTTGAACTCTTTTAGCTGAAGGGTCCCAGGTGGTGTGTTTGCATATTGAAATGCCGGTGACAGTGATAGACCCACCGGTACAGTAGGGCCGGGCTGTGCAAAGTCAGCGCCGAGGACACTCAGCAGCAGGAGACATCCTCCAGACCCGGCTTCCCTGTCCCCTCGTCTCCTATGCGTGAGCCGTACCCCAACTGCCCACCTCCACCCAATCTCTGTGTTCTGTGGGCCCCACTACCTGTTGGAGGAGCTAGATTTCTAGACCTTCCCCCTTCAGAACAACAAATCAGTGGACTCTCTGGCCTGGGCCCTCCAACGGCGGCCACACCGCTCCTCTGGAGGTAACGGCTCTGTGCTGTTTCTCTGAAGCTAGTACAGGGTTTGCTCCACTTTGGGGGGAGAGCCTTGGAGGTCGAGTGATGGAGAGAAAGGGGTGTCTGACTCCACTGAGAGGGTGTGATTCAGTTTTAGCTCAGGCTACTAGGGAAGGCTATTCACTTATGGAGAGAGACGGTAAATAGGCATTTGTTTTAGCCAGTTCAGTTTGTGAGATTTGGGATCTAACAGCCCATCACTGAGGTGCCTTTCCAGAATGAGCCGGAAAGTCAGCGTCATCTTTCTACTGTGGGCTTCTAAGGGGCACAGGCCACAGGTGACATTTGGGGAAAGAAGAGGTCAAGGATACCACACCTGTAAAAAGGGAGGTCCCACCTGAGACTCTTTAGGATGACCTGAGTTCCTTGAGAATTTTTGCTTGATTAGGAAATAGAGACATTCCAGAAGGTTAGCACAGCACCTGTACGTTGCTTCCCCTCCTGTTTTCTTGTTTGGTTAGGCTTTGAAAGTGTTCCCTGCCTTAGTTCAGAAACAACTGTCTTATATGGTAATTTTGTCATTGCTGGAAACTTTTTGCTTCATGCTGGGTGTTAGTGGCACAGACAGACCCCTGACCCAGGAGGTTAGTGCTGCCTGAGTCATCCTCTGGGGTTGTGAAGGCCTCAGAGCGGCCTTTTGCACCAACAGTCAGTGCTCAGTGATGTTATCGTTCTTAGACCATCTTCTCAGGAAATTTAAGATTCACTTAGCGTCTGTGACCAGAATTATCAGATGATCAAGGCGGAGACTTGTCATTGCGTGGTACTTTCTGTCAGGATAAATTTTTCTGACTTTTCTGATGTACAGATAAGAGAAAGAAGTTCTCTTGTCCAGACAGAACTCCCAGTGTTTTTTGTCCAGTTGTTAGCAGTGAGCTGTGACAAGACATTCCTGCAGAAAGTTAGGAAGTCTTGCCTTCCTGTTTTGTGAAACTTCTTAAAGAATACAGTATTTTCAGTGCTTTCTTCAGAGTCCTTCAGAGAAAACTGATCCATATAAGATAGAAAGACAGACAGAGACACATTGTCTTTTTCCTATAAAGTCTAACACAGCCCCACAGAATTCTTGGCTTCACTCTTAATAGAAAGTCTACTTAAGCTGACTCTATACAGGGCTGAGGGACCCATAGTCTTTGCCTGGTCTTCCCTGTGGTAACCAGCAAGACCACAGGCTGGCGTTCAGGATCCTCCCTGTGACCTTGAAGGAAGAGAATTTTTCTCTGCCTGAAAAATGCCACTATTGTGATGAGCATGCTGTGAAAGAATATGGAATGTTATAAAAACATCAACCATGAAATTTAGTCCTTGTCCAAATGAGACTTTTGCTTTTTATATTGGCTATAAAATTATTAGTGTCAGCAGAATTAAAACAAATTTCGTCTGGAGTGGCATTTCATCCTCTCACTGAAAATACTTAGGAGCCAAGCTTCAGGAGTCAGTTACCAAATGAAATACCCATTAGGAGAGTGTTTGTGAGCCAGCTATGATAAAGGGGAAGGAAGCCCAGTTTCTAAGGCATGTGTGTGGGCTGTGTGTGAGAAATGCATTTTCTGTAGATTGGGTTTTGTTTGAATTTTATATCTGCGGAGGATGGACCCTGGAGTTTTGCTTTAAGAAGACTCTTGATGTTTTCATTTGCTGATTTGTTGTATCATCTCATATCTGACTCACTAATAACTGATTATTTATGTTATTAGGAAAATTAGGCATTTTGTCTCCCTCAAGAAACTGTGTTGTACCACTGACAATAATAAGCAGGTACAGTATTCAGTTTGCTTCATTTGCTTTGTCAGCTTGAGTACGCTACATTCTCACCACTGTTCTCTGCTTGTCTCTATCCTACTGTAGTTACCATTTAAGGCTTGTGACAAAATTAGCTTCCTTTGACAAATTGTTTTTAAAATTCCCTGTAAGCATATACTACTTCATTACTCGTGCACACCAGGTATGATTTATCTTGTGACTATTTCTAGACTAATGTACTTTTAAGAGGTTAAAATTCTTCCTCCAAATAAAAAAAGTTGTTTTTCTGTCTTAAACAAAAGTTAATATGCATTTGAGAATTTCATCTCTACAAACCCATATTAAAAGCAAATCCTCCCAAATAGGTACTTTTTTTTTTAACTTTACATTACACAGAATAATGCATTTGAGTGTTGTCTTTTGAAGTAACAGAATTTTAGTAAGTTTCTATATTTAAGAACTTTTGGGGAAGGACAGTATTGGTATTGGTAATTTTTCTTTTCAGTTTATTTTTTAATTCTAGAGTATGTTTATTTTCATATCATGCTCTAAAGTTTACTCATTAAAAAGTATTCAACAAACAAAGTAAGACGTTTTACTTAGATGAGGATTTAAAAGAATAGATGATGTTTCTAAAGGATATTAAGGACGTGGAGGTCGAATCTATTGTAGTGGGATATGCCAAAAATTTGTGAAGTGTGATATCAGAAAGCAGAGCCTGACCAGGCAAGGATATAAGTGGGAGGAAGACTGGGGGGGGGCCTCCTGTTCATCCCAACTAGAAGGCAGCCCCTCAGGGGAAGGGGGATGAGCTCATTGTGCCTGTGCAGAACTTTCAGTTGGTGTCTCAATCCAGGAAAGGTATGTGTCTATAATGATTTTGATTTTGTAGATGCTGCCAATGATCACCACAGTAAGTCTCTCTTAGCAGCTTCCAAGTATGCAGTGCATTAATGTTAACTATAGTCACCGTGCTGTATATTATATCCCATGGCTTTTGTAACTGAAAATTTGTATGTTTTGACCATTTTCACCACTGTTGGCTCCATCCACATCTCTAGCAACCACCAATATGTTTTCTGTATCTGTGAGTTCAGTTTTGATTCTCTTTGAGTCTACATACAAGTGAGATTGTCTGATTTTGGTCACAGTCTATCCATGTTGTCATGAATTTCAGGATTTCTTTCTTTTTACAGTTGAATAATACTCTGTACTTTGCATTGAATACACATTCATCTCTCTGGGGACACTTAGGTTGTTTCACGCAATGAACATGCGGGTGCATGTATCTTTTCAAGTTAATGTTATCCTTTTCTTGGGGTAAATACCCAGAGAGAGGCTTGCTGGATCATATGGTAGTTCTGTTTTTAACTGTTGGAGGAATCTCCATAATGTTTCACATAATGATTGTTCCAGTTCACATTGTCACCAAGAAAGCATGAGGGTTCCCTTTACTTCACATCTTTGCTGATACTTATTGCTTATTTTGGTTTTGTTCTGTGTTTTTGATAGAGCCATTCTAACAGTGTTTGTTGAGGTATTTTATAGTTTGATTTTGATTTGCATTTCCATGATAACTGATGATGTTGAGTACCTTTTTATGTACTTGCTAGCCATCTGTAATTCTTAAAATAGGATTTTTCATTTGTCATTATGCTGTATGGCCTTCTCTGCTTATTTTATATGAACCCTTAACAGATAAAAATTCACCATTTTTTTTTCTCCACCAAAAGTGTGCCTTTTCATTTTGTTAATGGCTTCTTTTACTGAGCAGAAGTTTTTTTTTTTTTGCTTGATGGAGTGTCACTTGTTTATTTTTGGCTTGGTTGTCAAATCCAAAAAAATTACTAAGAAGCTGACCTCTATTTTCTTCAAGGAATTTTATGGTTTTAGCTCTTATACAAGTCTTTAATTCATTTTGAGTTGACTTTTGTGTATGGTGTAAGGTTGTGGTTCAGTCTCCTTATTTTATCCAGTATTCCCAGCACCACTTATTAAAAAGACTGTTCTTTCCCTGGCTTGAATTCTTAACTCTTTTGTCATAAGTCAGTTGATACTTAATTCATGGTTTATTTCTTTACTGTGTTTATGCTAACACCATACTGATTTATTAACTGTAGCTTTGTAATATATTTTAAAATCAAGAGTCAGCCTCATGACTCAAGACTGCTTTGGCTAGTCTAGAAATAGAATATTCCTAGTAATTTTAGTAATAAGTCATGTGCTTTTTCTCAAGATTTAGGTCAACATAAAATATTTCCTTCAGCACTGAGAATTTCATCTGGAACCAGGAAATTTTTACTTAATGCCCTAAAGTCATGCAAAGAGGCAGTCCTTGGAGACCTCTGGGAAAGGAAGGGAAATAACTTTCATAGGGAAAAAAATTCTCCCAACAGCAAGATTCAGACATCCCAAGAGGAAAAATGTCTGAATGAAAGGTGATGTGAGCAACAGCAGAAGTTTAGGGGAGCCCAGTGGCTCTTTAGAAATTAACTACTGAGCCCAGGCAATTTGAACTGAATCTTTATGGGCTGTAGAACCATAGTGCAGAATGCAAGATCACGTGGACTTGTTTGTGTTCATTCCAGAAACGAGCCACATCTAAAAATCAAGTACAACCTTCCCTCACCAACCTAGCCTTGTTCCTCCACCTTTCTTCCTTAATGAAGGGAACACTAAATCTCCCTATTTCCAGTCTCTGTGAAACTCCCTGTGGCTAATTCTGCCAGTCTTCATGGTCCTGCTCATAGGTTCCTTTTCCCTCCACAAGCACTCACAGTACCTTCTCTGTCCTCTGCCACCCTGCCATTATCATGGCTGCTTGTGTGCCTAATTGCCCTCTCCTCTCCAGCAGGGACTTTTGGCCATACTTGTCTTTGACAACCCACACTGCCAGGTACTTAGTAGGCCCTTGGGCTAATGGTTAGCTTGAAAGAAATCATTTCCTGCCCTCCTACTAGTTGTACAGTCCTTCTTCACAGGAAAAGCAAGCAAGCCTTTAGTACAGGACTTAGGGATGCAGAATTGAGGGGCCCTCTTCTTTTCTCAGGCTCTAAATAGAAATTTCTTTGCTCTTATAACTTAGCCACTCTCTGAGAAGAGTGGAAACACAGAGCTCAGATATAACCTGAGCTATTGACGTCACCTAATGGTATTGCACAGGCCTTGGGAGACGAGATTTTCCAGTAACAGAGCATATTCTCTCTCTGGCTAGCCAGATTTTCCTCCTCTTCGAAGGAGATTGAAGTGAATGGTGATGGTTCTGTGACAAGGACTCCCCAGAGAGTGGGAGCAGCCTGTCAGGGCTGTAGCCCTGACGTCAGAATCTGCCTGTGGGTTTGCATTTTAATGAGTGAGACTAAGCCAGGCTGCTGTCTGTTGGCTGAGCCTGTCATCAGCACAGAGGTTTTTTTTTTTCCTTTGTGAGCCTAGTAGCTTTTCAAAAGACTGAATACTCAGTGAGGTTTGTCTGCTGCCAGCTTCATCTCTTCCTGTACCCCAAACATACTCACTCCAGATATGTATTAAACACCTGTTTGCCAGGGACCCAAGATCCCAGCCACAGACAGATATGTGAGATGCATCCCCTGAGCTTGGAGCAGGGGGTTGTGATGCGAGCACTGAAGGATTTTTTTTTAGGTGTCATCTAGGCCAAGTAGGTAGCAGCCAACAGCTTGCAGGCCACTAACTGAAGTCCCAGTGGGCACAGCCACACTTCTCTGTTCTGTGGTTTATGATGCTGCCTCACCCACAGGGTAGCTGAGTAGTTGGCTGCAGAGAACTTAGGCCTGCAGAGCCTAAAATAGTTAATGTCTGACACTTTGCAGAAAAGGTCTGCTACCCTCTTTCTGACCCTCTAATATCCTTTCTTGGACTTCCCACTTTCTCAGGATAGGGCGGTTGTCCAGGCTCTTGGCCATACTTTAGGCACCTGTGCCTTAATGCCCATCCCTGCACCTTGATTTAGAGCCTCGCCCAATCCCCTTAATACTCTGAAGATAAGAGGACCAAGTTCTCTGGAGGCTTTTTTCCTTTCAAGAGGTCCAAATCCAAATTCAAAAGCATGACTCAAACTGAGACTTTCAGAAATCTGCAGCTGTGGCCCGGTGTGTGAGGGCAGCCTTGCAGCAGTGGTGTCAAGAGCTAATCACTGGCTTCCTCTTCCCATGCAGGAAGGAGCAGAGACTTCATGTGTGATAGGAAGTGGTTTTCTAGTGAAATCAAGGAGCACAGCCCACCAATTGGTGACTCCAGGAAAGATTCTCTTGGTCTAAGGAAGATGGATATAGACATGGGTAGGGCAGTGATCCAGCCCCTACGAAGCATTGCTTTCTGGCTAACCAAGGTTCTAAGACAAAGACTAGTTGAAAGAAGAATGAGATCATTCCAACCTAGAATTTGCACAGAGCTTTCCAGAGCTAGCAACAGGGATCCCAGCCCTTGGAATTGTACTGCCCACTTCTTTCCCTTTATTTTCATGACAGAATTAGGAAAAATTAGGAAGGACATAATCTCTAAAGGAAAAGTAGCTCTTAACTTGGAACTTGTCTTAGAATAATTTGTTTCTACCACTGCACTGATAAAAGCATTGTCATATCAAATCTGGGACCAGCATTGGGGAAGCACTGCTTGGACACCTTGTTCACATATGTAACTTATTCGGGAAGAGTAGAAACAGAGATAGGAGCTAAATTTGAGACATGTATGATGATAAAATGCTATGATGATGAACTTCTTGGTGTTCATCATATTTTTGTAGTAAGCAATTGAGTCTTGAAATTGTTGAAAAGAGGGTGGGGTGGAATAGAACTGTAATAGTAATGCATAAGACTAAGCCAGTCAGAAGTACCTCAAACAAGATACAAAATATATGAAGTATAAGGGGGTAAAAAGCAGAACAAAACTTTTTTTTTTAAAGATTTATTTATTTATTCATACAGAACTGGGGTACAGGCCAGAGGCTCAGGGGCGGTGAGAGGCTTCACCAGAGACAGAGTGGGGAGCAGAACAGGCAG